GCATATCCTTCAGGTCATTGTGTATGTTGTTACTGTCCTTTTATATTGTATACTGTTTTATGCAGGCTTATGATAGAACCACTCGTTCATGTCATCTTACCTATATGTAATCCTACCATGTTTAGTCATCATCGTACATAAGATCTCTAAGGCAGTGGCTGAAAGTGTGTATGTAAGATGTCTAGTATAAGGAGGGTTACAAAAGTATCATCCATCCATCCTACAAACCGTTTGTCCTCTGTAGGGGGTCACGGGCAAAAGTATCATATTTTACCAAAATATTCCTACAACTAGGAAAGGATCAATTACAGTCTTTAAGTAAAAAGTGTGTTTCATAAATATTGCATCGGAACAAGCACATCACAGACACAATTGTTTATGCAATAATGAACGGCTCAAACCCCAAGGCATGAATTTTGTAAATCTGACACATGTAAAGTGACTCACGCAGGGCATGCCACTCATCTTGTCGGATGGTCTTGGTGATGTTGACAGGAAGGTTTCGAGGCAGGATTGAAGAGGTGTAATGATACTTCACAGAGGTGCATCTCTGAATCAACCCTATTTGAACAAAACAATGAATCAAACATTGTACAGAAGTGTACTCTTTAATGACATTTACAGTGTTCAGCAAAAGCAAATGAGTCTGAGTTCTGAGGAACAGCAGGTCTGTTGTGATCACAAAATGCCACAAGAGGCCCATGCTTGTATTGAATTTAATTAAACGATTTCCTGGAGAGCAATTAGGCACACATGATTAAATGCACAGGGTCATAAATGTCATAACTTACACTTCATGTTGATTTTAATCTCATGTAAAATGAGAGCACCAGTGTTTAAAAATAAGCATTCTTCATTTAAACATTTAATACTGTCTATATATCCCTCAGTATTTAAGAATACTTGAACCGCAGAAACTATCACTAATGTCACTGAAATAGAGCCTATGACTGCAAAAGTACTATTTTTAAAGGGAAGAGTTATGTTTGTTTAGCCAAAAATAAATAAAAAGTAACAAAAAAAAAAAGCCAAACATGCCATGCCATAAGTAAATAAAAACTAACATGCAGCTAGGCCTGTCGCAATAATCAATATATCGACTTATCGCGCAATATATGTACATGACCTAAATCATTTTTGGTGACGCAATATATCGCCCATTATTTTTCCTTAAAAATTAATGTCACCATGTTTTGAACATTCCACTTGCGCCTGTGTCTTTTGCAGCTTCTCGTACATAACGTGCAGTCATGAGGTGCTAGTTCAAATAAAAAAAAAAAATGCTTCAACAAAAAAAGTTTCATCTGCAGATATGGTCTTGTTTAGGGATCTGTGCCTTTGTGCATACGGACATCTGAGTGCTAAGTAGTGATTGTGTTTTTCAGCAATAGTGTGCACCCTTAATTTACAGAGAAAGGAAGGTCAGGGAAAAATCTGTAGATGGAAAAATCTCCATACAAGTTCTTTGTGCATTTTTCTTTCTTTTTTTTTGTACTTGTTACTTTGCACTTTTTGTTAGAAAATGTTTATTTACTATTTATTCAAGTTTAAGGTATCTAATAATTTGATACGGTAACGAATCAATCCACTGAAGGCGAGTGTAGTGAAAAACCCAAGTGCAGTTTATTTACAGTGTGATCCAAACAATAATCCGAGACTTGACATGAACAGACTTGACTTGACGAGGCATGAAACAGACTTGACATGAACAGACTCGACGTGGCATGAACAGACTAGACTCACCGACAGCAGGTTACAACATCAAATA